CGCCAACGTCATTTTTTTTTTCCGGAGATTAAGTGGCAATAAGTCAAGTATTTTCTTTTGATCCACATCAATTCTGCGTCCAATTAATATAATAATAGATATATATGAATAATTATAATATACACGATAAATGTTTATAATAATAATAATAATAATAATAATAATAATAAGAAGAAGAAGAAGAAGAAGAAGAAGAAGAAGAAGAATGTAGTGGCACGAAAGCATCATCATCATCTACCACAACAGCAATAAGAAATGCCACTAAGCATCATCATCATCCTCAACAACAACTACAACAGCAACAATAAGAACAACAACAACAACAATAATAATTAGAAGAAGAAGAAGTAGAAGAATGTAGTGCTACAAAAGCATCATCATCATCGACATCATCATCTACCACAACAGCAATAAGAAATGCCACAAAAGCATCATCATCATTATCAACAACTAAAACAACAGCAACAATAATAACAAGAACAATAATAATAATAAGAAGAAGAAGAAGAAGAAGAAGAAGAAGAAGAAGAAGAAGAAGAGGAAGAAGAAAAAGGAGAAGAAGAAAAGTAAAAGAAAGAATTGTCACCACCTCGTTGTCCTCATCACAATCATCAGCAACTACAACGAAAAGAACAGCAAAAATACTCTACTATTAGTAATACTATTATTATTATTATTACTACTAATAAAATTCCTGGACACATCAGCATCTCAGAGCTACAAAAGATTATTTTGTGTGGAACTACACATATCATCCGCAAAACCGTCTCCGTCTAAACGAAACGTCCCAAATGTACATAGATAACTCTCCTGCACTGCCCTTTTTATTCATAGACCCCAGAGATGACTTGGTAATTAGGCACTTAAAATTACTCTGGGGCAAGATACTATCATACCTAATAATAATAATAATAATAATAATAATAATAATAATAATAATAATAATAATAAGGGCATGGCCTTTCAATAAAAATAAATTCTTATTTTAATGTTCTCTCTCCTTAACAGTGTTTTTTTTCTTCTCATATTCTCTAACACTCGGTAACCCGTTTCATCTTAGTGGCTTTATTGCCTTGCTTGTAGTGAAATGGTTAAGAAAAATCTGTTAAAGACTATAACGAAATACATAAATATAAGGATCGTTAAACTGAAAAATATGGCACCTTAAAACGATTTATTATTATATCTATAATAATTGTTTGTAACCTAATAATGACATTTATTATACCTATAATAATTGTAACCTAATAATGAAATTTATTATTATACCTATAATAATTGTAACCCTCGATGAATAAAGCTACAGATAGAAGCATTAACAAAATCACTGTCATCTCCTATTTACAAGAGAGTCAAAAAATTGGGGAAATGCTCTTTATACTCTAGAGAGAATTATCAATTTAAAGAAAATATAAACACTGTACATGTTAAGTAACACTTATCTTTAAAGATTGTGTAAACAAAATACAATATCTTTACGACTTTGCTTTACACCAATTCTTGGATAATAACCCGGTAAGGCAGTAAGAGGGGACAGAATGCAAAATAATAATAATAATAATAATAATAATAATCGATTCCTGGTAGCCCAACCCATAGGAAAAAGGAAAATAAATAATAATGTGACGCATGAAGACATCAATAATTGCATTTATAGTTGGAGCCCTCGGCTTAAGTGGAAAAAGTTTTGATAGGCCCATTGAAGCGACCCCCGCCACCGTAGTTCATGCCTCAAAGAAGTACAAAAAAAAAAAAGGTTTCACAAGTACAGCACACACCTTACGAAGGATTTTATCAATGTAAAATGTGTATGCTCTTAAGTTCAAAAATGTTCAATGGATACCATTTCTGACCTTAGGTCTCTAGTTGGGACCCAGAAGGAAATTAATATACAACAGAAATTGTAAGAAATAATAATAATAATAATAATAATAATAATAATAATAATAATAACAACAACAACAACAACAAAGGCTGTCTAGGCCATGTCTGTGATGGGGACCAAAGAAGATACTGAGAAAGGTGCTGAAAATTTAAATTGACTTGTTGTCACTCAATCTCATGGAACAAAACCCATCTGACGGGAATATGCAAATATATGAAATATAAAGAATAGTATACGAATAATGATAATATGCACGATGAATGCAAATAATAATAATAATAATAATAATAATAATAATAAAAAGAAGAAGAAGAAGAAGAAAAAGAAATAAAAGAGGAAGTAAAAAAGAAGAAAAAAGAAGAGAAAAAGGTAGAAGGTTCTGTTGAAATAAGTTACAGCCATTACTATTATCATTTTAATACGAATAATATTAATACTAACGCTGATAGTAGATCGTCCTTGGTGCAATAATGGAGGAAAAATGCGGTCATGGCAGAAAGAACGAACGCTGGTACTAAGTGTATTGCTTGTAGCCTTAATAGTGCTGGTAGTTTATTTAATGATTTCTACAAAAGTAAGTGTATTAGGAAAATAAATCTTGATGAGGTAGAAATATCAGGGAGCGGATATAAAGGAAGGGTTTAGTCGATTAGATAAAAATTGGAGGAGAAAAAAAGTGGGTGAAAGAAAGAAAGAAAGAAAGAAAGAAAGAAAGAAAGAAAGAAAGAAATCGGAAAAGAAAGAAAGAAAGAAAGAAAGAAAGAAAGAAAGAAAGAAAGAAAGAAAGAAAGAATTGATTATAAAAAGACAAGGATAAGAAAGAAGGAGTGCATATCGAAATAATAAAAGAAAGAAAGAAAGAAAGAAAGAAAGAAAGAAAGAAAGAAAGAAAGAAAGAAAGAAAGAATGAGAGAAATGGTTATAAAAAAGACAAAGGTAAGAAAGAAGCGATTGCATATCGAAATAATAAAAGAAAGAAAGAAAGAGAAAGAACGAAAGAAAGAAAGAAAGAAAGAATCGTAGAGCAAAGAAATAAATAAATAGAAAGAAAGAAAGAAAGAAAGAAAGAAAGAAAGAAAGAAAGAAAGAAAGAAAGAAAAAAACATGCAAACAGACAAAACTAGTTATAAAAAAGTCCAGGGGAAGAGAAAAGCAATTGGATATCGAAAAATAGTAAAGGAACAAAATCAAAAAAGAAAGAAACATATATTTCTTTCTTTCTTTCTTTCTTTCTTTCTTTCTTTCTTTTTTTAAATAAAGCAAAAATTGAGAAAGCTTATACAAGAGAATAATAAAAAGTGAGATGCAAATAAAAATAAAACAAATATTTAAACAGGAAGAAAGACTAAATAATAAAATAGTTCAGAATGAAAGTAAATAATTTATTCTAAAGACAAAAATGTGGGGTAGGCATATATAAATATTTATTTATTCTATCATCCTCCATTTGCTGATATCTCCTTCGAAAACGATTTCTAAATAATGGTTGGGGGTTCTAATCTACTATATATATATATATATATATGTATGTATGTATAAGAAATAAACAAATACGCACAAATTAAATAATGTTGGACAAACTGATTGTATAATTAACTATTTTGGAATTTTATCCTTCACACTCTCAAGAATTTAAAAAAAAAAAAGTTTTTATGGCAATGATAATAGACTGATGTTACCAAAAGCTCCAAAGGACAAGAAGTTGTGAAGATCCATGATCAGCTCGAACATTAGAAAGATTTTCACTTTCACCTTGATATCAAATATAACTATTAGTATGAAAGCTTATAGAATGCAAAAATAATAATTCCTGCGGACTAGTTTTTTTTAACAGGAGTTGAGGTTTATCCTTCGTTTCAGTTTAGGTTTGGGTCTCTCGTTCCTTCTAAATTTTTCTCATTTTCTTTCACTCCTAGTAATCCCTTGCGTCTTAGTGACATTATCGCCTTGCCTGTGGTGAAATGATAAAAAAAGCTTACATACTTATCAGACCAAAGTATAATTAAACAACACATTAACAAAAACGGCATCAGCTATACTAGACAGCTCCTGGTCCATTTCATATTTACGCACCAGTTACCCAGTGCTGCATCCTCGAAATGTTTCTGAGCTTTATCATCGACGTTTCCGATTACATCAATTCAACTTGGTATCCAAGCAGATGACACAACTATTTGCTTCCGTCCTAATAGCAAGTCCAACAAGGTGAAACTGGCAACTGCCCTCGAAATGGATCTCTAATCAGTTGTTAATTGGGGCAAGGAGTGGCACGTAATTTTTAAAACCTCCAAAACTGCTTTCATTTAATTACCACAGATAACCTTTTCTGCCTGCTATCAGTATGGCTGATGCTAACCTCAAGGAGAACAACACTTTGCTCCTTCTTGGATTTACTTTGTCCACTTACATGAAGTCGGCTGATTATATTGAATCAACTGCTAGGTCAGCTGATAGGAAAGTTGAATTCATCTTGCACATTTACAAATCTACCATTCCTCCGTGCACTGAATATCGCTGCCATATTTGGTCCAGTGCCCTTACTCTATATCTCAAGATTCTTAACAAAATTCAAACGAGGGTCCGTAATATAATAGATCTTGTCCTGGCATCTCGACTTCAGTTACTTTCCCATCGACGTGACGAGGCTTCTCTCTGTCTTTTCTACAAATATTTTCATGGCAATTGTCCTAATAATTTTCCCTCCATGTTGTCACGACTGCAAGAATTTAAGCATGCTACTAGATTAACAATTAGGTTAATTAGTTAGATGCAACCGTAGGTTCAATTCTAATAGTTCCTTTTCTCGCACTTCTGACACGTGGGACTCCCTTCAGATTTCTTGCTTCCCTGCCATCTAAAATATTTAAAAATTTAAATGCAATGTCAATCACCATCTCCTGTCTTCCTGATCCCTGTCCTGATTACTCTTTCTCCTCACTTCTCATCACTCAAGCCTTTTCATTCTCTTTCAATCCCAGTAACCCCTTTGCGTTCTAGTGACCCTACTTGGGGATGAAATGATTTTAAAATATCTGGAGGTACACATTAAGGACCAAGTGAAAGAGTATGCTTTCCCGAACACTAAACTCTTAACTTGTTCAAGTCTAGGATTAACCAAGTTGTCCTTATGATTGTCATAATGTTTTCATCAGACAATTCTTCTCATCAGAATTCATCTTGTCCATTTATAAATCTACCATTCGTCCGCGCACTGAATATCTCTGTCATATCATTGTCTGGTTCTCCTACAATATATCACAAGATTCTTAACAAAATTCAAACGAGGGTCTGTAATATAATCGATCCTGACCTGGCATCTCGACTTCAGTCATTTTCTCATCGATGTGATACGACGTGACGTGACGCCCCTCTATCAAATATTTTCATGGCAATTGTTCTGATGATCTTAATACCTCCACTGCAGGAATTTAAGAGTGCTACAAGATTGGCAATTAGGTCTCACAGTTTTACTATTTAATTAGCTAGATGCAACCGTCAGTTCTATTCTAATAGTTCCTTTTCTCACACTTCTCCCCTGTGGAACTCTCTTCCGGTTTCTTGCTTCCCTGTCACCTACAATCTTCCAAAAAAATTAAATGCAACATCAATCGCCATCTTCTGTCTTCTTGAACCATGTTCCTTTATTGTCCTTTCCTTACTTCTCCTCACTCCTCATTCTCTTTCACTCCCTGTAACCTCCTGCATCTTAGGGGCATTATCGCCTTGCTTGGGGTAAAAATATACTAAAAAACACCAACTGCTAAGACAGACTAATTATTAGTGAAGCCATTTGCAACCTTGTGCCGTCCTGGGTATGACGATCAACGAAGTCCAACAGCAAGGCCTCTGATCAGGACGTTTTGAGGATCGTGGTGTTCCCAGGTCCACCCTGATCTGGGGTGGTAGTACCTGTTAGGGTCCGAGCTATGGGTAAATAGTTAACCCCGAAACAGATAAAAAAAAAAGAAAACATGAAAGTGTAAAAAAAAGGTTTTAATACCAGAAATACTTTGTTAAAAAAATTATTATCAGATATAAATTTTTGAAGAAAAAAAAACTATTGCCATCAGTATATTTAAAAACAAAAATGTTACCAGCAATACGTTTTTGAACAAAAAATATTACCAGCAATACATTTTCTAAAATAATATTACCAGGTATATATTTTTAAGGAAAAAATATTACCAGAAATAGATTTTTGACAAAACAAAATATTACCAGGAAAAGAGTTGTCGGTATTAAGTAACCCAATAAGGTTGATATGCCGTAAAACAAACCAAACGAAACCAAACCAAGTGAGTAATTAAAAAAAAATTTACGAAAATAAAACCTTCCATGTTTGTAAATTTCCTAAAAGAAGTTGGATTGTACTCACAAATATGAGTAATTGAAAAATTGTTCAAATATATATGTATACATACACACTTTTTTTTACCAAACTATCGCTATGAATCTATTTCAAAATTATGTTGTTATTGAATGACCCACTGAGGTTGATATACCGTAAAACAAAACAACTAACCAACTACAACCTTGTCCAAATTAATTGAAACAAAACGAATAATTCCGTTATTATTTCCTTCGTTTTCGTATTTTTCCAATGAAAAATTACTCAGTGCACATGTTAGTACATCGTATGTCTATTCCACGAAGTTGCTCCTTGCAGATTGACCACAGATTCTCAATTGGATTTAATCAGGGGAGTTTCCAGGCCAGTCTATAGTACTTTGATTTGCTCACTGGTAGGGCTTGCTAGTGTGTTCGTCCAGCGTTACAACTTTTCCTACGCTTCCTTGGAGTAATGTCCGTCGCAGACAATGGATATAGGACAACTAATCGACAGTCGAGACAATAGTATCTAGATCTGATAAAAATCTCATGCAATCACGGATGACGCAATATTTTTCAAGGCCAAACAAATGACATCATACACCCCGAAAATAGATTAATATTACTGCACACCACTGCAAATGAACTAATCTGTTGTTTCAATTAATTTGCACAAAAGCAACTATCCATTAACAGAATAACAATAATCTCCAACCTTGTCCTTCGAAATGCATAAAAAATATAACACGTCAAAACACGTTATGTTATACATCGCCGTTACATGTAACATATCGCCGTTACATGATGCTGACTCCTCAGTTACTATGTGCTTCTGGATTGGATTGAGCTTTCAAACAAAAAACAATATTTTTACAACATGCACTGCTTAAAATACATTTACTTTTCTTTTTGTTCTTACACACATGACGAAGACACATTTGAGTCGAAGGCTCAGAAGCTGGATTTTTGGCTATTTTATACATTAAGAATAGCCACATTTATGAAACGCCCCCCCCAAAAAAAAACGATAAAATTTTGTAATGTCCTTAGGTAGTAATTGAGTGCAGAAACTGCCCCTAATGTTTATTCTTCCAAGTACTTTCGACCAGGCGATTAGACATTCTCAAAAGGTTTCGTTGTTAACATGTTTGTTTTCTAAGGTGTATTGTACTGAGTGTAGCAGTAATTCTAGGTTCTACAAGAAAATGTGATCTATGATGTGTTGGGGGGTCTTTTAAAAGATCCCCAACACATCACTGTCGCTGCTATGTGCATCAAGGTTGATCCTTGGCTTGAATTGTTTTATATAAAGAGTTTCGATAATCTTAAAACGTCTTCAACAGTTGGATGTATTTAGAATGATAGTGTTAGCAACACAATTTTTGTCTAACGGTGGCAGACCGTTGTTTGTGGATGTCCAGGTGTATTTTTTTTATAGCATTAAGATCACTTAAGTGGTTTGTCATCTTTCGGGTGATAGTTCACACACACACACACACACACACACATATATATATATATATATATATATATATATACCAAATTAATCGGGTTTCGGTCTTGGTTTGAGGCATTTCGGATGTCAAGTCGCACTGATGAGCTGTGATACAGCGAAACAGTACTGTCTGCGAATGACAATATATATACTGAAATTATATATATATATATATAATTTCAACCCAAGCAAGGCAGTAAAGCCGCAAAGACTCAAAGGGTTAATGACTATGAAAAGAATTTGGTTAGGCAGTTTTTGGAATCGTGTTATTGCACTCAATTTGAAAGTTTCGCATGATAGATAACGACACAAAATATTTCTTTTTTCAAATCGTTACCGTTTTTTGAGGAAACGAGTTCAAGATTACGCTTAGGTTCGGAAT